ATCGAATCTTAGACCCGACTTTTGTATTTCGGTTCGGGTACGGGTCCAATTAAAATCCGCCCGGATCTGGACTTTGCGGAACACTACTTTAACTATAAAAAATTGTTAATTTATTAATGACTAATAAATCTAATTATATTAAACTTAAACTTTAATTAATTTAAGGATTGGAACCGACGTAATTCGACCTGGAACTATTAAATGATTCCAATTCTTAAACTGATTACTAAAGATAACTCGTACAGGGAAACCTCCGACATTCCGGCCAGAAATTCATCATTTTGCACAAGATCACTGGAAATTTTTTTACTATGTAATGCTGTAATGAAGCAGTGCACAAAATTCCAGGCGATGTAATGTGATTTTTCCGAATGTTTTTTTCCTAACCGGAATTTAGAAACCATAGTCGTCTGTTTGAAGTGGAATTATCTTATGTAGACAGAAATCTCCGGCATTTTATTAAAGGTTTTGTGCTTTGTAATGAAATCATATCGCATTTATTAAGTAAAAATACTTGCTGATAATTTTGCTACGGTATAGCATGTGGGCTTATATCAGCAAACTCCGATGAATCCGAATTTTGCCTTTGTTAATTAAAGGTAGAACAACCAGTAAAAGTTGTACATAGTACATACGTCGTACGTTCTACAATTGGTGTTATTTTATTTTTTTTTCGATTAGGGATTTCAAATTTAACTGAAAACTTTCATTAAAAAAAAAAACGGTTTAATGTTGATAAGTAACAATTTTTTAGCATATCAATCAGGTTTCAACAAGTGATAATAATTTATATAATATACTTTGACAGTTCGATATGTTTCATTAAGCCAGAAAAAAACAGTATATTATCCCTTGAAATAATTGCGTTTACATTATATTATTAATTATATTAATAAAATTTAAATTGAACTACATCCTCATGACGTCAAAAATTTCTATTAATAAAAATTTATAGATTCTGGAATTAAAAAGACAAAGTAAAACATGAAGTATTGTTTCACTAATTATGTATGTATGTATGTACGTACGTACGTACATACAGTGCTGTAAGTAACCCCAGTAACCGGATCAGCACGACATCAAAACAAAACACGTGCGCAAGAAAAAAAGAGAAAAAAGCGAAAATACTCAAAGACTAGTCTTTAAATCGGCATTTGGACACTAACAAAAATTGTCGAGAGCGTAATTTTACATATGGGGATAATCTTTCAAGGCCTATAACCACGAACCCTAACCGGAAACATAAGCCAAAAAAGCTTAACCGAATGTTCCACAAACGTTACTGCAAAAGTGTCTAGACTCCTGGCGGTCTACAAAAAGTACAATGTCGGGACGACCCGGCCTCAGGATATCCCACCTTATTCATCAATTTTTAATTTATATCAGAAAATAATACAAATATATTATATGTAGAATTAAATTTTAAGCATCTTTATTTAAGAGCTGTAAACAAGTTATCATAATAAAATTTTGAACCATTGATTTTTTTTCCCTAAAAACCTCGATTTTGGGGATCGGAAAATCGGAAAAATAAACAATTGAGATCGCACACGCATGAAATTGTTGACAATAAATTTACTGGCCATAACATTTAGTATTAACATTTGTTCGATGGATTTTTTCTGTTTTGTTAAATTAAAACAAAGTAAAAAGTAAACTAAACAAAGTAAATAAATCTATAAAATGGGTTAAAACTTGACTGAATTTCATTAAGGTAAAAAAAAATTCTAAGAATTTGGTACGTAATAATTTTTTTTGTTTGAATGGGTTTAGCATTCACTAGAGGTGAAATTCACCACTATATGTTCTTATTTTTAAATGATCTAGAAAGTTTGCCTTAAGACTATAAGAAAAATTAAGTTTAAGACTAAGATTTAAAATCTATATCGATTTTCAAAATTAAACCGTTATCTTGCCAACAATGCCGAAATTAAGCAATTCCGTTAGAAAAGCCTCCGTCTTCGGTCACCACGTTCGAAACCATACCGACTTAATTATCGTTATATTTGATGGTGGTAACATTGTACCAAGACCTTTACCTCCACCCGAGGAGTTTGATATCAATAATGGAGGTTCGTTTAACCTCAAAATATGAATTTTTTTTAAACAAATTAGATCAGGATGTTACGTTTCCATCTTTTCTAAGTAATAAAATCACAAACACAAATATTCGTAATATTATTTGGTTATTTAATATCCGATGTTTAATATCTTATATTTAACATTTTTCGAACCGTAATGCATAACAACATTTTAAAGTATATATTTGTAAGCAGGAACGAAATTCAAACGGATTTGGAATTTTTTAAATTTCTTAGGATTTTGAGACTAAGGTGTAGATTTATATTAAATAATTCTACCTTAAATTAATTTTATTAAGAAATTCTGAATCCATTTAAATTCCGTTCCCACTTGCAATGGGCCAAAAAAAATTTTTTTAAAAAACTTGATTTTTTAAAGAATTAAAGTAATAGGTATCTAATTTTTATAAAATTACAAAATCAAATTTTTGGCCCATTGCCACCTTTTGCTGTGGTCTCATAATATATAATTAGATTCCGTATAGACGTACGAACTCACGTATAAGCAATGTTGTACATTTGACTGTTCAAGCTTTTTTGTACTTGTTCCATCTCGTTATTAGGACGTCCCAATTTTTAATTTATAAAGTTACAGTCAAACACAACCCCTTAAATGCAACACCTCTCTAAATGCAACTTTAAACTCTTGCCCAAATATCTACTTGACTCTATAATTGCATGTCATATTGTCCCCTAAATGCAAGTTAACAAAAGCCTGGTTTTTACGAGTTGCATTTAGGGAAGTTTGACTGTATATTAAAATTTAATTCTGAACATTTTTTTAGTTATTTTAATAAAATTGTCATTTTTAAAAATCTTAATTTGTTTTCAATTTTGTCTAAACTGTCTCATGTTGATTAAGATTAATGATCTGTAGAGGTCTAACTCGGTCAAAAATAGATATTCGAATATTCGTTTGCTTAATCTCGAATATTTATTCAGAAATTTTTGGATGAATATTCGAATATTCATTAAATGTTCATTGAATTTAATAATTATAAAATATAGTTATAAGACTAACTTGATTATTAATTTTAAATATATAAGTTAACAAATAATTTTTATATTTATAAGCTATATTCAAATAAATAAATAAATAAGCTACAGTAATTGGTTTTTAATTAATAAAATTTATTTTATTTATTTAGTTTTAATATTATTAATCTATCAAAATACAAAATTATACAATATTTTAATATCTTATTCTGTACCTTAATTGGTTAATCAAACAGTACATATATATTCATTAAATATTCATTGAAATATTTGGTGAATAACTTTTCTATTCAATTATATATTCGAATATTCGAAAATACTATTCATCGAGTCAGACCTCTAATAATCTTATTTTTAAATGTTTTTGCAAAATTTTAGTTTGTTATCTTTTCTTAGTAGCTAAATATATTATTAATATAATAAATAACTTTTGGATAAAAAGTTTTTTAAATAGAAGTGTTAGGACCTTATCAAAGTAGTGTTATTACAAAAAGCCTTTGTTACCTTCAAAGCAAATTTAATTTACAGAAACTAAATCATGATTTATATAAAAAGCTTTTACTTATGTATTTTTTGCAATATGTCGATTATATCTAAAATTAGTGTGTGAAATCTCTACTAATACTTTCGAGAGCCAGGTTAATTATTAGTAAAAATTATACAAGGCATTTAACTATATGATATAGTACCTAATACGTATATATATAGAATATATAGAATAACATACTTAATGAATATTAAAAAATCTGCAAATATAAATAATCTAGAAAAATATTGTTACTAAACAAAGTTAATAAAGGAATTTATTATTATTAAAAACTCTATTAAAATTCAAATAAATAATTTTATCTATTTATAAAATCTATATCAATTGATAAAATTAATTTATTGACTTACTAGTCAAACAAGACATCTATATATTATTAGTTATAAAAACACCCCATTTGGCTCAACCTAAGTGCCATCACACAGATGACACACTTTACTATTAATCTATAACTGCAACTAATAAATTATTAACACCCAGTTGGAGTTTGACTCCAACGGCAGAGAAAACATTATAAGCAAAGTCTTATACGTACTACGGTGTTATCTGGTGTTCCTCTCACAAACAAAATATTATTCAAAAAGAGTTATTATTTCTTGAATAATTAGAATTCTAGATAATGCTATATATGAGTGTCGCCCAAAGAAAATAAAAATAGAACTTTACACAAAACATGCGGGCTTTTATATAACTCAAAAAAATCCGAATAACATGACTGATTATTCTAGATACTTCGATAATAAATTTTTTGAATTTTTGGTGCAACAACTAGAGATCACATTACGTGTGACTTTTCTAAACGGTGTTTGATTTGTTCATCGTATATATACCGAACATTCTTTTTGATCACATGTATTCTAAAAATAATTTTTGAAAGCCCGCATGTTTTCTCTTGGGACACTCATATGCATAACGTTAAATAACTATAATATTATGAAATTTGCTGTTTCTTCCATAAATCTTAATTTCAAAAACGATTTACAAATATTTTCCTAATTCAGGGACACAATTAACTTTTTTTTGAATGATAATTCGGAAGTAATTTACATATCACTAATAAATATACATCATTTGTTCCATTCATACTTATTCTTTTTTATAAGGTTTAATGTAATAATTTAGCGATACAAATTTTTGCATTTATTATATTTTAATACTAGTGAAAATTTGTGCAAAATTACACAAATTTACTATAATAAATTTAGTTAGCATTATCGGTTATAGTCAATTTTAATTTTGCAATTTATGCAAACTATCGTGTTTCTTCAATCACATTTTAACATCTTAATTAATATCATAAAAAATTTCAATCGTTTTTTATATAAGACCTTAAATAGCAGGTAGTTTATTTGTATTATTGTAATTATTAACAAATTGGTTTATTTTATACATAATTATTAGTACAATAGTATGATATTACATAAAACTCTAAAAATTAATAGTATCATTAAACTAATCAATAGTATACGTATATAATATTAGACTGTACAGATTTTAAATCTATTAAAGGTTTACGCTTATATATATTTGTTTATTTAAAAAACAAATAGTTTTTAATCTAAAAATATAATATCATTTTTATTATAGCTAATTTTTTGTTTATTCAATTTTAAATTTAAACATTAACTAATTAAATATTAGCATCGGATTTTAAAATATCATATGGCAATACGTATCAGCCAATCATTTGCCCGGTTGACCAAATTACCGTTATTCAAAAATTTGCCGAATAATGGCGTTATCCGACAATTTATTATCATGGTTGGTAGGGGTTGTCGGCTGGCTTTTAATTCGGGTAAACGTGAATATTTTGTAACACATGAAAAAAACAACAGGCAGAAATAAATTCATGATCATAAGAGTTTGTCGGATAAAGTAAATTATTTACAAAGAAGAAATTTCTTATGTTTATTTAGTATTTATGTTTAGTAGATTTATTCAAATTAGTTCATTACCTCACAGTAGAGATGTCATTTCGCACCTCATACAGGGTGAAATCTAGAGTTTAGCAGATTATTATATTAGCTGTTAGGTTTTTAATTATTCTTTCATTAGTTTAATTTCATAATATTTGATTTACCGTTCTTTACCTCTTCTATTTTTATCATTTTCAATCAAAATTATTTTGCTCTTTTTTCGAGTTAAAATATTATTAATCAAGTTCTTTTTGCTATATGATTTATGTTAACGTTTTTTATGAATTAGAAATCATAGTTGCTGTATATTGGTTTGTCTTGTTGTAAGAAATCTAAAATTATTAATTATTGTTTGCTTCTTATTAAAGCCACAATTGTGTAAATTGTATTTCTTTAATGGCATGATAATTAAAAGATTAAAGAATGAAATGATTTTTACTCTACATATACTGTATATAATATAGAATGTTGCATATTTTTATACTTTTTCGCTAGTCAATGTAAACGTATATAGTATAAAAGGAATTTAATTAAATTGGTTTTATTATAAAAATGAAACTTTATGATTGATAAAATGTCAAAAGTTAAATTTATTACGCGAGGCATATGATGTATGATGTAATTCGCGCAAAAAATGATATCATCTCGTGCAAGGGAAAATTAAGCATTTTGGTATATGTATCACGAAATATTTAAGTTTAGTGTCGTATAAAATATTTGATTAATTTGGAGAAAGATAAAGTTTTTGATATTTTAAGAATGTTCAGATTTTCCCATGCGGTGCATGATGCATCGAAAAAAGCAACAATGTAAATAAATAAATAATCAATTATTGGAAATATTTTTTACATGCAATTACTGAATTAACGTTAAATGCAAAACTTAAATATTAATTAAGTCTAGCAATAAAGTTGTCTGCATTACAGTTACTAATTATTATTTATTTAATTAAATATTTAATATTTATTCATGTCTAAAAAAATTCTTACAGTGTGCCATGTAAGCTTCTGAAGTCCAGAAATGGAATATTGTATTAGTATTCGAACTTAATAATGGAATTATTCGGCAGCTTATGGCGATCGTATCAAACAATTAATGTCATTTAGTTAAATACGATCGCTGATAAGCCCAAGTTTTAGTTCTAACTATAAAAAAAATTGCTAATTTATTAATGAATAATAATTTAATATATTGAGTTAAATTAGGCAACATCAACTTCGCAATATCTAGTTAATTAATTTAAGGATTGGAACCGCCTAAGATTCTTCTAATCGTTTAATCGTTTAACTGTGTTAACCGTTTAATTCAGTCAGCGTCAAATAATTCTGGCCCATAACCGACGTAATTCGATCTGGAGCTAATCCTTAAAATTAATTGCTAAAGATAACTCATATAGGGCAATCTCCGGCATTCCGAACCAGAAATTCGATAATAGCGCATTTATATTTATTAAGTATAAAATACCCAGCTGACAACAAACTCCGATGAACTCCGACCGGAATTTTGTAAAAATAGGATAAACAAATGGTGTAACCGCCCGTTTTTATTATTTGTTTTTCAATATAGGAATTTCAAATTTAACTGAATGCTTTTCATTAAAAAAAACCCGTTTTAATGTTGATAACATACCAGGTTTCAACAAGATTATTTGGCAATAATTTATTTAATATA